AAAAAGCGACGAGCAAGGCTAGCGAGCCAGTCAGAAGAAGCCTGTTGTAACGTCGACTCGCATCGGCCGGGAATAGATGGTAAACTACATGGCGCTGGTCCGGCCAGCGAGTACAACGAGCAAAACGAGCAACTCGCCAAGAAGGAAAAGGAAAAGGATGAGGAACTGGCGCCGGCGCCGGCGCTCCGCGTTTCTAAGCGGTGTTGGCTCGCTTCTTGAAAATTACCCGGACGCCGGACGCACGTGAAAATTGCCTGGCGGCTGGAGTCGAGGCGTTCGATTTACGCTGCCACGGCGACCCAGCTCTCGAGATTCTTTCCTCCGCGTAATTTCCAGCCCGCGATCCTCGCGAAATTGGTACACTTCGCTGTTTCTAATTACCTCGGAAATCTCTCCCGTACCTGTCGCCTCTTGACATTCGAAAGCTCGCCAACGATATTCGCTGTTCAGTCATTTTCTACCCCTACTTCGTACGCCTGTTTACTTGCGTACGCTTTCGTCGAGCAACGTAACGTTCTAAAATTAAAATCGAGAGAACGACTACCTCCGTTATCGAATGATTAACACGTTACGCGTTTCGGCGACCTACGAGGCCGCTAACAAGTATCGGCGATTCTTTGAACGGATTTTTCAACTAGTCAACACAAGGTTTCGCACCAGCGACGATTTGCATCCGCGTGTTTCGCAAGGTCTCGCGAAAGTCAACGACCATAACGGTTACATCGCGATGCGACCCGTAAATAGAATCGTTTGCGATTTCAACGTTCTCAAATTTACTCTCCACACAATTCCGTCGTTAGCTCCTATCTGATCGTTGAAATCGAGTTGACTTAGATTCGGAACATTTCGGCGAGAAAGTGTTATATATAGAATCTCGGTAATGTTTTCAAGTTCAGACAGATCTTATCAAATTCTTGTATTCGTATTCTCGGGCCGACGTTCAATCTGCTCGAATAGAAACTTTGTCAAAACACGTTATTTGTCTGAGTAGTTTCACAAAAAAGAGCGACACGCGTTCCTCCACGTCACCGGAACATTACCATTTTATTAAAAGAACAATAAACGAACGAGTTAGCGTTGCTCCTTGGACCGTCTGTCCTCCAGCTTCCTCGAGATCATGTCCCGTGTTTCGTTCAACGCGATCGTGAATATCGGTACAATCAATCGAAAAGAGGTAACGGCAAAAGCGTAATTATGACCGGGTGTTAGCAACCGACGCGTTCGATGTCAAGCATCCAAGGCGACTTCCTTCGCCGTTTCAAATGCTGTTCCTCGCTTTTTTCTCGCGTCGCATTCCTGTTGCATGAATTATTGATGGAGATCTCACGCAGAGATTCACGGTTTTGTCGCGGCGAGACAGGATAGTTTCCAGAGTCGTCGTAGAACGGATTTGGATCGTCTTCGTTGACTTCTCTTTCACCGTTGCCAACGACCATCTTTCTTTCGCGATTCTTGTGCGTGATGGTAACGTGTTCGTGGAGATAATTCCACGGAAGGATCGTTTCTTGCCGTCGCTCTCGTCACTTATTTCCTCGGCCGCTGGGGAGCTGATGGAACGCTCATGTTCATGGAAGATTCGCGGAACCGGCGCGGCATGAAAAATTCGTGCTATTTCTAGTCGACATCTAGCGCATCCTCGTCGCCGTCGATTTGACAAAAACCATCGAGATTCGTACGTTTTCTTTTGCATCCCGAGAAACGGTTTCTTTTTACTCGCCGAGTACCGTAAGAACGATCCTGTACGTCGTTACGACCTAGGGTAAATCGTCTCGAACTTTTTAGATTCCTAATTAGAATTAGAAAAGAGTCTGAAGATGGTCTGTTTGTCTGATCATTTGTTCGAATAGACGGAATACCGCGAGCAATTGTTTCCCGCATTTTCTCACGGTCTTTGCACGAAGACGTATCTGTGACTTCATTGTTTAACGTGAATATCCTTTGAAGAATGTTATTTGTGTTTTATATTTTATCTGTAAAATTAGCAAGAATTGAGATGCAAATAAAAGAGCAAATTGATAGAAGTCATGTCTTGTTATTTGATACGAATGTATTGTACATGAAAATGATATCGAGACGTATCCGATATTAAGACGTAAGATTTTCTTCAAGGCGCGAACAGGTGTCCATTTTGACACGCGTAGTTGCCCGGAGCATAAATGTCTCATTTAGTTGCAAGTACATAGCTCCGACGGTTGGTTCGGCATGAAGAATATCATTCTCCCTTTTATCTTTCATACCACATCTAAGCTCGGACAGTGAATGACAGAAATCGTGACAATGTAGCAAATGTGCAAATGGTTGCTTCGGTGTGCGAGAAGTGTTCGTAGTGTGATTGAACTTTCTGTTCCACTTGTGCGATGGACACGAGCAACTTTGCAAAGAAACTCTACAAAAGCTGGTGAAAATCGGTGCGATATGTAAATCAATCTTTAATTGCGACGCGTCAGAGTTTCGAAATGTTTTTACCTCTGCTTTTTAACGCGTAAAAGCGATACACCAAAGTCCTCTATGACGCCATTAATGAACGATACAAACGTTTTAAAGCCAGATGTATAAATAATGTTTGTATCAGAAGCGTATTACAAATCTTCGCGAAACGTTTCAAGGCTGCGTATGACGCACAGTTCAATTTCGATTAAATAACGGTTTCGACGAATAAACCCCAGCTATTTACCACACAATACATTCATGCGAATTACTTATTAAGGACTAATTGTAATTCCACGGTGAATGCCAAAAATCTTCGCACGTGTCTCGTTTTGGAAGGAATTTACTCACCTCTGGGTCGCTAAATCGTCCTTCGTTACCGTAAGAGGAGGTTAATCGTGCAGTAACTACCGTGTTAATTGACAACGCGTCCTTGAGGCAGCAATAATCGATAAGGAAGCACATCAAACAAATCGAGCCTTACGTTCTCTTCCAAATTACGATTTTCAAGTTTTTATCCATTAATCTTCGGTGAGCAACTTGTTACGCGTAATGACAGAAATACGAAAGTGTAATAAACTGTCAATGATTAAAATAAAATTTCGAGTCACGGATGTTCGAGGACTTTCATAGTCGACTGATTTCTCTCGTGGAATAGTAATTTTAAAGGTTTGATCAAATTTTCAGAACAGCTGACCGTACAAATATGAGCGTACAAAAAATTTTAATCGTACATAAAAACTAGACTGAGAATTTAGCTTTTACCAATTACGAGATTGCGTAACGTGGCTCGATTAAAAATAAGGTAACGGGTGTTAGAATTATTTTCGACAAGGTAGACGAAGTACGAAAAGAGAAGAAAAACAGTTATATAGTTTCTCGTAACGTTTAACACGTCCGCAATCCACGATTCGGTTCCGTAAATAGCTCGAACAACGGAACGGCAAACGAGAGTGTCACGAAACAGCATTTAGCCGAACAAGAAAGTAAATCGGACGGGAAAAATAAATGTAACTCACTGACCAACGTCTACGATGTGCTGAAGCGTCGGAAATCGTCTCTTCACGCGCAATGAAATCCTCTGCAACGTGATGACGTACGCGAGCACCGCGTACCTCACGATATTTCTCCTCATTAGTCTGCCTCTCTCATCCTGCAAATGTGAAAACATTTCAAAATTATTACCATCGAACACTTGCTTCGGCCAGTCGACACTCGCAGACAAAATAACGCGGCTCGACGATAATTTCTCGACTAATGAACATACAACAATAATTTAAAGAGCGATTCCATAAATCATCGTAATGTTTCCTCGCTGAAAGTCAAAATCGCTTCGATACGCCACGCGAACGCTTCGCGAGAACCGACCAAGGACTCTTTTGTTTTCCATCAAAATTTCCTGCGTTGATCAACAACGTATATTTAATTAAAAGATTCAACAAAGGCTCATTAAATATGGAAAGTAAGAAGCAACATTTGATCTAAGTGATTAAACCACGGTTTAAACACGTGGGCCAAAAATAATATAAGCTTTTATCAACGCGATAAGGTCTATGTCGTAAGCAATATTAAACGCAAGCAATTTCATTGAAAAGTGAAACGAGTCGATATCAATGGAGAGGCGTTTGCTTGAAAATTCGTATCGAATGCCGCACGAATGCCGAACACGTTTCCCGTGGCTTCTACACACTTTCCCTTGGTTCTGTTGGCCCGTGATCGCGAATCGTCGCCAGTTTCGAGCCGATTTCAATATTAATCGTAGAAAAACCACGGTGGCGCCTGCCGGCTATTTTTCCTTTCGTTTCTGGCTAACGATGCGTGCATTTTGTAACCGTGCGAGCGTTTTGTAATCAACGATGGACACGGTGAACGATCGTGCGAGGCATGACAGAATGTCAATTTGCTCGGAAATCATTTCGATTCTTGGATCGAGAGTACATTGTCGCGAGTTTTCGCAGATGCGCCATTCTTTTTCCACGTAGTAATCGATTAATCGTCAACGCGCTCGACGTTAATTCATTTCATGTGACAAGTCATTCATATAATGATCGACGGGAGGAATTGTTTAGTCTAATAACGATGTAACATACAGATGTGTTATTTATTAATGTATAATGTAACTGAAATTCTTGGATGGAAGTACTTTTTTAAGTATAATTTTTCTCTATTTTTAAAAGTTGCTCAGATTCAGAAGTAAATTCAGATATAATTTAATAACGATTATTGTAATAATCATAAAGTAACTTAGTCAGACTAAACATTAAACTGCTACACCAGGGTGTCATTTTACGATACCGTTCAGTTACGAAATCAATGAGACTTTTCACGTTTCGAAATGCGACATTTGATACGCAACAACCTAATAAACCGATCGTGAAGCATTGATACGAATAAATTGGCTAAAAAATGGTTTGAAATACAGTAGTAGATACATCTCGCATTATATAATTGCGAGTAGACATTCCAGTCCGCGAATGTACTAATTGAACGACCCGCCATCGGATCGTTACGTATGTGGATCACGACAGATCTAGATGAAGTATTTTGTGGATCGAGGCACGTTTCGTCCGCTCGATATAATGCATGCGACTCGAGCGAAGAAAGTTTGTCGAAACTAACATTTTTCGTCCGGCTAATAACACGTGGCCGTTGCGCCACGTGCCGATTTCAGAACGATCCGTCTGGATCCGTAGAAGAAAGTTGGTTGGCGCGAAACGAGCGAAGGAAACGCGATTATTCCTAATTAATTACACTTGTTTGCTTCGGTATGTTCCGCGAGCGTTTCAACACCGACGTTCGTTAACGCTTCTAACCATTGAATTACGCTTTCTTGAGCTTTACGTTAATTACGAAATATAAATAGCTTCCATGAGTTACTGTCACGCTGATTGATTCTAATGTATTACCGACGGTCTAAGACATTCGTTTTTTTCGTACCATCCTCAATGTTTAGCCGGAAAAAATGGGGTTATCTGGATTCCATAAGGAGACTTTTTTAAACGTTTCACGATCATCAGCTAATTAGTTTCACCTTGACGTAGGTTCTTCGCATTCACTGCCCCAAGCAATGCCAAGCTATTGATCTCTTCGGGTATTCCAAGCTTGCATAACAGTAATCTGTTTCAAAGGCGACTTCGATTAGAGATGGGATCTAACTATACTCTACGAACCGAAATTAGAATTTAGAAACTTTTGTCTTCGTCACTCGAACTATTAATTTTTGCTTTATCTAGTTGTCAGCAACTTTTTTCATCTTAGACTCTTTTAGTTACTCTTGTTTCTCTGACTTGGGACATAGAAACACCGATCGTTCTTCGCATACTTTTTCTGGAACCTTCCTGTCTCGACTACTTCTGGCATGTCTACAGATACCAAAAACCTGTCCAGATCAGCGACGCACGAACCTTCGACTCTAAACTGTTAGCTCATTAACCTAGATACAATTTTCTTAAATAGTATAGCTTTTCGACAATTCTATATTCAACAGCGTTTTCTGCTGAATACGTTTCTCTTTACGCTAATTAATTATGATCAGGCAACAAGTTGTCTCTTCATTGAATCTTGATTTTCCAACGGTTTACGGTGTGAACAAGCGTACACGGTGTTTCCGCCGCGATCAGTCGAATCTCTTCCTGCCGTCCCAAAGACAGACGAAGTCCCTTCTTCCTTGGAACCCGCCGCGACTAAGCGTCGCGCGTGTAAAAATGCACGGCTTGGCAGCTCGAAAAGGATCTTGCCGTGGAGACGGTGGGAGTCAGCCGAGCCATCCTTCTCGCCTTGGGACTTGAATTCCAATTAGATTTCAATGAAAGGCACAGCCCCAGAAAAGCTCGTGCTGCCCACTCGCTCGCTGCTCATTCACAAACTTTGCGTTGCGTGACTACACGAGCACCACTCTTCTCCGTACGTGTAACATCACAGTCCCGTTCCGCGGTTCGAGAGACCTTGTTCGTCGACGCTGAAATTCCTCTGGATCGAAGATGCTTAGCTGGTATTCTGAGAGGATGCTTAGCTGTTCGACAAGTGCAACTTTCTTGCAAGGGTTCGTAATCGTCTCACCATCGAAAGTGCTAACGTGGCGAATTTCTTGCAAACTCGAATTTATTGGAATACTCAAAAGTTGCAGGAAATGAATCTTGCAATTTGTAGATTTTGAAATTTATGAATATAGAAATATTAAAATACTGAGTGCATCGCGCCCTCGCTTGCCCATCGCTGGCGAAGAGCGTAGGTTCGTCCTTGTTTCTCGATACACGTTGCACTTTCACTTCGACATTGTGTCGTTGACCAGAGATCGTTCGAATTCGAAGACCGAATTGTTCGGTTCCCTAGAGTCGAAGGTTTTCCTCCTCCGAGAAATCTGCCCTCGTAATCGCCTCGTGTAAGAGCCTCGTTAGATAACGATGAAGTAATACAAAGTTCGCGAATAGCTTTTGATGCTTTTTAAGATTCACCACCAGCCACCGAAGCGGAGGTAGGGAAAGAACTTTCGTTATCGGCCGATTCGTCGCGATCAGAGAAAGTAACGACAAAGTGCGACAATTTCTCGCTGACGATCGTGCAGAAGGTGTCGCGTGAACGCGCGTGCGAGCGTGTCTCGAATCGCGTGCCAAGGGTCGCGAGAATAGCACAACGTTCTCTGTATCGTTCGACTTATCCGTTAGTCCAAGAGGAACAAGAAGATTTGTTCGCTTGCCAATTATGGGATGATCGTTCCGCGTATTTTTTTTTTCTTTTCGTCGTTGTTGGGTGTGGCGTGACTTCGAGTTGGCACCTACTTAGGTTAACGACACCGAAACGTGTCACGGCAATTCATTAGCGTAATGAGACAAACGCGCCGCGACCGAGCAAGGCTAAGTTCGTTGTTTCACGCGACGTTCGACTTAGGAGAATCGTATTTTTCATCGAAGCGCTCTTTCTTCGTTAATTTAACAGTTTGAATCTTTGGAATTGTTGGTACTTTAAGATGTTGAGTCTTTGCAACTTTAAATTTATACAATTTAAAATTTTTTAGAACCCTAAATTCTGATATGATAGTCTCATGAGACTGATAGTCTCATAGCTTATGTATTTGTACGTGAACTTTATTTCTTAAAGAGAAATTGTTTCGTACTTACGTTTCCTGGAATAGCCGCACTGATGAACAGGGCTAAGTTGTCCGGCCACGGTAATAGTTTGTACTGTTCCCACCATCGCTTCACGACCAGACTCACATAAAATCCCAGAACGAACGACATGGGTATCGATTCGCTCGAGTTGCCGAAGTAGTACCTGATTTTTTCGAATATTCTGCAACAATGAAACATTCAGTCAAATTTTGAAGTAAGTGTCAGCAGTGCGAATAATCACTCAAAGTCTTAATTAAGTCGGAATGATAGATAGATCGGTTTAGATATTTGCGTAGTTTGTATATCGCACATGGTGGAATTCTTGTAACACAAGTGGAGCAAGGTTGAGGTGATACCGTCATTTAACCAGACCGCTACCGGTCTTACGTATCGCTAACTATTGCTAAGTGGGAATTTCCAATAAGATTTCACAGTAACACGCGAAAATTTTCTAACAGTATTTCTGTAAATAAAAAGACAAAAAGAGATAATTTTCTTGGAGGTATCACTGATTCACGTGTTATAGAAAAACGAATTAAAGAATAAAGACACGAACGGATGTAAGGAATCCATATCGTCGAGTATATTTGACTTAAGCACCTAACACTGATTAGTAATATTTCACGCTATTCACCTACTGTTTGTTCAGTTGTATTTATCTTACAACTATGTTGTGTCTTTTCTAACTGTACGACATAAAAGTTACAAGGCAAGGAAATAAGTTATCTCATAAACGTCGTAATGAACTGAGAATCTTGAAAGTTTCGAATCGTCAAAGTATAAAAAGCACGATAATACGCTTCCGAACAATTTTACGATCGAGAAAATCGTATTAGAAGACGAAAATTTACCGCTCAAAATCTTCGAAATATACGATCGTCTTTATAAGGCGAATCCCGTGTATGATTGTTCAGTCGGTTCGGACCCTAAACCAACCTCAAACCGGCCCTACGGTTCTAAATTTAAACCAAGCGAATCGAAGCTGTTCAAAGGAGAGACCTTTTTGCATCCAGCAGCTTTGGCTTGCGCTTCTTCGTCCCTCTGTTTCTCCTTTTTTTTATCTCTGCATAAATAACAGGTTACGTTTTTATGCGTTTTTTAATGCCGATCCCGGACGAGACCGAGGCACATTCCAACCGTGTATTGTGTAAAATGCTCTTTATATACCGCGAGGGGCAACAATTTTATTTACGATATCTGCGATTTAAGTGGCCACAATATATCTGGGATGCAAACGTGAAATATCATGCTGCTGGCATTTCCTAGTACAACTAACCCTCTTGTAACAATGTGGAAACCGTGATTATAGGGTTTTGATATACAGTAAATGTTTGGTACATTACAATTTTTTATTGGTTCTTTATATTCTCGTATGTTGGATCAGCATGCGTGGCGATACATTACTGCGTGTAAGTTCAGAGTATTGGTACGTGTGGATGGTATCGTTACGTGTTGTATCTCCACGCATTGTATCGCTACGCGTAGTGATAGCTGTACGTGGTATAAGCACACGTGATGTCACAACATGTTGTGTTCCTCACACGAGGTACCATAGTGTGTAGTAGTTTTACGCGTGGTATCGACACATGTGGTACCATAGTGTGTAGTAGTCTCACGCGTGGTATCGACACATGTGATACCATAGTGTGTAGTGGTTTTACGCGTGGTATCGACACATGTGGTATCATAATGTGTAGTAGTCTTACGCATGGTATCGACACATGTGGTACCATAGTGTGTAGTAGTCTCACGCGTGGTATCGACACATGTGGTACCATAGTGTGTAGTAGTCTCACGCGTGGTATCGACACATGTGGTACCATAGTGTGTAGTAGTCTCACGCGTGGTATCGACACATGTGGTACCATAGTGTGTAGTAGTCTCACGCGTGGTATCGACACATGTGGTACCATAGTGTGTAGTAGTCTCACGCGTGGTATCGACACATGTGGTACCATAGTGTGTAGTAGTCTCACGCGTGGTATCGACACATGTGGTACCATAGTGTGTAGTAGTCTCACGCGTGGTATCGACACATGTGGTACCATAGTGTGTAGTAGTCTCACGCGTGGTATCGACACATGTGATACCATAGTGTGTAGTGGTTTTACGCGTGGTATCGACACATGTGGTATCATAATGTGTAGTAGTCTTACGCATGGTATCGACACATGTGGTACCATAGTGTGTAGTAGTCTCACGCGTGGTATCGACACATGTGGTACCATAGTGTGTAGTAGTTTTACGCGTGGTACCGACACATGTGGTACCATAGAGTATAATACTGTTATGCGTGGTATCACTACATGTAGTGACAGCCACGCGCAGTATAATCACGCATAATATCGCCTCGTGTGGTACCACAGTATAGTATTATTGCACGTGGCGATACCACGAGTGATCGACACACTGCAACGCGTTGTAACACCACATGTAGTATCCTACCGGTACTTGTTACACCGTTAAAGTACGCGTTGTAATACGTTTAAATAGAAGGCCGTATCTCTACACGGTGTACCATACATTTCCCACCGCGATTTTTAAATTCCACTTCCCATAAACGATGTCTCTACCTGAAATTTAATCGATCGCTCGAGTCGTAATTATGCAAATTGACGTTTATTTTTTCTGTTAACGGTCGTTTCGAATCGCGAGCAGGTAATACCGGGTGCAATAAAGAGTCGGGTGGAAACGCGGTCGTAAAGAAGAAAAAGTCGACCAACACCGTGCTGTTCGTTCGTGTACGCACAAATTGACAACGGTATTTATGTTAATAAAACTGGGCTGCAATCAATTTGTCGAGGTTATTCGATGAAACGTAATCTCGATCAGAAGTACCGGAGGCTTTGGCTTTGTTGCTCGATCAAGGTCGGTGTCGCGTGGGTTTATCGACGTTCGTAAAAGTTGCGGTTACGGCAACTCGTAACCCACGCATCGAGTTCGCTTTTTTGCAGGATAAACCGATGACGAAACAGAGGGTGGATAATGTTTATGTCTCGTTTACAAAAGAGCCTACTTGTCGCGGAGATGGATTTTACTTTAATCGGTATTCGCGAAGGCTGAAGAAAAAAAGTTTCGTTTATTGGTATGTCTTAATTTCAAGGAGATGAGCCTCGTTTTTTGTGCGACGATGCTCCTGACCGGTTAAGGCTTCAGCCTTCGGGTGTCTGAAGGAAACCGGCGCGGGAAAGATATTCAAATGAACGTATTCATGTACTCACACCCGCTGATGCTCGTTCAGCGCATATCTGTATGTAAGGTTGATGAGGTAGTAGAAGAAAAGATAGGCCAGCAGTTCTCGCCAGATTAACTTGTAAACAGAGCCTCGCCATCTGTGAAAAAACAAATGAATATTGTTTATTATTAAGATTAACATCGCATGCTAATTATAATCATATTAGTCTCGCTACTGTGCTAATCTTTAAAACGCAAGAATAAAATCTGCTGTTTCAATTAGGAATAATGTTACCAAGGATCGCCTTCGTGGAGCAACTATAAAAATGTTTCTCTATTGACACTGATTCCTTTTCATTGAACTATTACCAGTTTTCATGGTCATTTTCAAGGGTAACCCTTTTAAGTCCTCCAACATTACTTACCGATAATAACACCGGCAATTTAGCAATTTGTAAAATTAGTTCTCGAAACACCTACCGTGTGTAACTAGACACAGAAATAGATGGAAGGGATACGAAATTTCCCTTTCAGCGATTAACAATCGTGACGAAACACCGGACGACAGGCGCTTTCGATGTTGCCCACTCATTTAGAAATTAGGCAGAGGAATGTTCATTGTGGAATCTTCTAACGATAATAATAAACTCATTTGAAGTATCGTATTTAAAGAACATCTAGATATTTGAACGACGACGATAAGCTCAGTTAAAGTTAAATGTATTTAGAGAACTTTAACCCCGAAACTAATTCGTGTCATGGTTAGATCGATTTTACGACCAACGAGTACACTGAATTCGCAATATTTTCGTGACGAAACGTTTACCATGTTACACCTATGCGAACTTATTGCTTTCGACGGATTTTATAGCGTCATTAACGCTGTGAACATGGTTCGCCGATATAATTGCGACGAGTATCTACGCTGAATGTCACCGAAGGACGATGATACCAAACGAAGGTTTCGTCAATACCAATCACGAAGCAACAATGACTTTACATTCAAATCCCGCAGCCTGTATAGCGCCGACGAAACGTAGTGCAAACGAGGTCAAAGTGAAAAGCCGTGTATTATCGACAGCCATGTTGCTATACATATCTATATTGTTTGACACGCGAATAAACAGGTCGATATTTTATGCAAACGGAATGATTTTATGACCACGTTACTCGGTTTGTTACCGATCTTATTTGATACAGAGACACATATTTCAACAACGAAACAGCGAGTGCTATGAAAAGCCTCGGATATCCGGTTGTATTCAACTCTCACCCTAATGTATCTACAAGACCGTAACGATAGAAAATGTAATAAAACGCGCGACACTCAGAAGATATGTAAATATCCGAGAATACTTCCACGAAGATGTTTTTAATCGATGACGAAAATTTCGGAGAACGGGTCCCATTGGACCGTTTTCGCCAACGTCATCGAAAAAAATATCTCCTGGAAATGAGTGAAAGTATAGCGGTACATTTTACCATCCTTCGAATACGTCGAATTCCGATGATTTCTCAAACTCGTTTCGAAATTTCATAAACAAGGCGGAATTGTTTACGGTGCCGCTTCCCGGCGATTTTCGCGTTTCAAAATCGACGAAAAGTTACGCAGTCTTATTAGTCGAGAAAAGAAAAACCTGCATCGGGCCACACGAATATCGAGTTATACGTTTGTTTGTGTGTCAGTGGGTCATGGTAGGAAGTATTGTCCCACACCATTCATACGACGCGTGATCCGCGACCACACGCTCGTAAACCCCCGCGTGGTTGCACGCGTTACGCGGTGTTTCTACGTACACCAGACATTACGTTGGCACTTTAGATAGAGACGCGTCATAATTAACCTCTCTCGTCCACAAAGTTACGATAGTTATTACGCTCGGTCTGTAAAAACTGAAAGATAAATGCAAATACGTACTGGTTGTCGATAAACAGTGGATGGACAAGTAACGCAGTTTACTAAAACAGGAAAGTTTGAAGAGTGACGCAAGGACCTGGCTTTATGGACTCTATACAATACTAATTTTTATGAACACCGGCGACAGGAGATAAACTCTTATTTTATGGACCCTACGGGGTTCCTGTAGACCCAGGTTGTCAGTCTCTAAACTACTTCGATTTCTACATTTATGTCTCCGCGAATAACCCAAACAATACTGACACAGGATTCCGATTCTCGGAAAATACAAGACAAGAATTAAGTGTTTTGTAAATTTTGTTACTATGGAAGAACATACATCGAATTAAGGAGTTTAATTTATGTTGGGTGGTCATGCTCTAATCTTATACCTGCAAACAGTTTTACCAGGAATGTAAAATATTCGCGCATTCGATGCGCAGGAATTTGCATATAACGTTAACGATGCATAAACCTTATGAACGATTCATTAAAATCCTCAATCGATTCGTCCGACGAAGACGCGTCAAGTCGATAAATCTGCTGCTTCGCGTGGCTAGGCTCGATTAATTTTCCTCGCAATCGTTTGAAAAACTTTCCATTGTTGCGGTTTAATGCGCGAATTATTGTTGCAAAATCCATTGGCGGTTGTCAATGAATTCTGTCGAAAATTGTACATCGAACTGATCTATAAATCTACGTTCAGCGAGGCGGTGCATCGCGGTTCGCGAACGAAGAATACTTGAATGATTGATTTATGAAGTATTCGGTACGTAATAACATAGGAGGATGAGCGTAATTAAACGAACGACCCGATGGCGCTGCATACTTAATCGCGCGGCTGAAGATAATGTTTCGTTTATTGCATCACCGTCGAGATTTACATGAATTTGTACGTCGAATCGCGGGGATCTTGTTCGTTCCTCCGGCAACAAATTGCGAGACTAACGCCGCGAAGATGTTTTTTACTCGCTGGGATTCGCATAATTCTTCGCAAACGAAACAATGGCTTCGCGTGATCGCGAAATACATCGACGCCTCAGGGAATTACCTGCTAAAACAACGTTAGGTAGTATTGCACAACTCTACAGAAATTTCGGTTCGCGGAAAAACCGGAAAATTGCTCTGAGACTAATTTGAAAACGTGTTATCGAAAAACACAATGTTTTGAAACACGAGCGTCTGGTTACAGCGGTTAAAAATTCATATTCCGCACAGAACTCAGGACGTTCTTTTATAATTGTACGGAGAAGAAGACGTTGACGCAGATCGTAAAGATCGACGTGTATACATTGTAAACGAGTAATGACGTGCACGAGTGAATGGGCGAGTCGCGAGGAAACTACATGCAATACATAAAGATACCAGGTGTCGAGCATTTATGCAAGATCGTTATAACATAATACTAGAGCGGTCGCTTGGCGCAGAAGCGTTTCCTTTTTAGTCCTTTCTCTGCTTTCTGGCTCGTGGTTTCCTCGCGAAATCGTTCGCTACCTCTGCTACTTTTGGTCAACACTTATTTTCGACGTTGGTTAATTTTAATTGGAAAATTTCATTAGCAATTTGCTTCGAGTATTAAATCAGATACCATATTCGCTACTTTTATCGTCAGTTGGTGTACTTCGTCAGTTGTGGATTTTAATTGCGAAGAACTCGGCACTTTGATGACGGTGTTAAATAGTGGGGTTATCTTTGTGTTTACCTAGAGATTGTGCAATTTATTTTAATCCAATGTGTGTCTTGCGCCAGTCGATCGTTCTATCTATTTTTTATAGATTTCCTGTAAATGTACGTGGAATTTTCAAATACACCTGGAGGATAGTTAAAGTGATGGACATCAATTTTCGAGAGTGTTTAATATTACATTTCGAGACGGTCAGAGACACGTAGGAAGTGACTGGAAACGCTATAACTGCTTTCGTATCACGACGGAATGCTAAATATTGTTGAAACGTGAGTCATCGGTCGCGTTGCTCTGGCTAACTGGCCAACAATACTCTCCACCATTGCTAAGTCGATTATTTATCGTCGGTTTGCCACGTTCCTACTCTTTGCCGCAACAATGTTTCACCAAACGATCCGAGATCAAGATCTCTGTGGTCGGAATGCCGCGATTTAGTCCCTCTGTAACAGACCGACGCAATAAGCTCTCGTTAATTTATACGGACCGTGTTAAGGTAGTTTCAACATAAACGTTGCAAAGCGTGTAATTACCCATCGTCTTCGAACAAAAACACCGGCTAGGAATTTTATCAGACGATTAGAGGTTCGAAAGAATCGAATATGGAAAATGACCGATTCACGAAGAAAGGCATAACAATAAAAGCTACATTCCGCCCTGCTGGTAAGAGGGAAATAAGGAGCCTGATCCACGCTGGACAGCGCAAAGTAACGGTCCACCGGTCAAGGCTCGTCAAGGCCTTTTATCGCTCTTGTCGGCCACGTTTATACCTGGCTGTGTTACACAATTTCATTCTTTCAGTTCGTTCTCCGTCGTACTCTTTAATCTCGTGTTTATACGCTTGTTTGAACCCTTTCTCCCAAAGGGGCGTGTACAAGCTTTCTTAGCCAACCTGGACCCATCACTACTTTCGGTCGGTAAATTATCTAATTTAGAAAATACGGAATCCACTTGTATTCGAACCCCTTTCCGTATATTGTTTTCGTGAGAGGAATAAAAACAGAGGACTGGCATTCCGCCTTCGTAGATGGTTCTTCCCGAGTTCCTCTCCCGAGAGGTTCCTCTCCTCTTTCTTGTTTCGCCGAGATTCGAGCTTCTTGCGAACGACACGTTTATAGGAACACTTAAAGCACCGTGGTTGGATAGGAAAAGAGGATCTCGTTTTATTCCGACGTTAGTATAATTCAACAGGGAACTATCCTTCAATGTCAGGTCGTCGTACGTGGGGCAAGGAACTGTCGTAAATACGCTCTGATCGGATCTAACTCGATGGGACCTTGACTCGTCCATTTCGCATTGGCAAGGATCGTGCTCTTTGTTCCGCGGATTACATTCGCGTAACTTTAGTAGTAAATCTGCTAGATCTTTTCAATGAAACCGGTAGAAAAATTGCGAACGTTTATCGAGCCGTTTGGAAGATATACATCCAGGCTCAATGACCGTGACCATAAAGAAACGCGAGAGGAAACGGATACTTCTCGACGATGACTTGACGTATTACGCCAGTGACTATGACGATATCCGATTATGGCTTCGATCGACAAGAAGTCGTGAAATTTTTGAAACCGTTTTTTGCAACC